GGCGTTGGATAAGCGGCGGGACGGCAGCGGGGGGGGACACGGGAGTTTGAGGATTTGCTTTGGGGTGCAGTGCCCCAGAGTGGCCACTAGGTGGCAGCCTTGCCCCAGCAGAGGCGCCTTGCCCGGAAAGGGAGAGAGTTGGCTGCCTAGGGGGGCGGGTGGGGGGACGGACCCTTGTTTGGGCAGAGGGCTTGGAAAGCGAGAGGGGTGGTCTTGTGGGCCAAAGCCGTCCCTGCCCTGCTGGAGGCCCCATTCCCTTTCTCATGGCTGGGGGGGGGGCATTGAGCATCCTCCCTCCCCAGTTTATAAAGGCCCCCCCTCCCCGTCTCCTACCCTCCCCCTGCCTCCTCCCCCCCCACCCCCAGGCTGCAGCATTGCTGGGGTGGAGGCCACCCGGTGGGCACCAGGGAACATCGGGGCTGCTGTGACCAGAGGGGGCAGCGAGCGTGGCAGAGCCTCCACTTGGGCATCGCTTCCCCAGGCATACATCTCCCAGCTTTCCACCCACCCCTCATCCCATCCCAGACACACACACACCCCCAGCAGCTTCCTCTGCCCCCACCATGCCCCCTCCATGCCCGCTGGCTGCCTTGGCCCTTTTCAGGGGGCGGCTTGTGGGCTCTTTGGTGGATAATGACCGAGCGCCATTTTGTTCGCATGACTTCTTTTTTTCTCTCTCTCTCTCTCTTTCTCTCCCTGCCTCCTCCTTTGTCCTCCCCTCTTTTCTCCTCCCCCTGTCCCCTGCCCCCCCCCTCCCCCCCTTTTCATGCTCTGCCCGCTTGCCAGTCATTGCTTGTGCCCGGAAAAACGTCAAGTAGGTACGGACGCCGAGGCAGCGCGATAGGCATAGGAACCATCGAAGAGGTGGCTGGATTTTTTTCCTCATTCTTCTTCTTCTCTCTCTCGTTCCTTTCTTTCTTTCTTTCTTTCTTTCTTTCTTTCTTTCTTTCTCTCCTTTCTTTCTCTCTCTTTTTTCTTTCTCCTTTCTTTCTTTCTCTCTCTTTCTTCTTTCTTTCTCCTTTCTTTCTTTCTTTCTTTCTGTCTATCTATCTATCTATCTATCTTTCTTTCTTTCTTTCTCTCTTCTTTTTTTCTTTCTCTTCTTTTTTTTCTTTCTCTCTTCTTTCTTTCTTTCTTTCTTTCTGTCTGTCTGTCTGTCTTTCTTTCTTTCTCTCTTCTTTTTTTCTTTCTCTCTTCTTTCTTTCTTTCTTTCTTTCTATCTATCTTCTTTCTTTCTTTCTCTCTTCTTTTTTTCTTTCTCTCCTTTCTTTCTCTCTCTCTTTTCTTTCTCTCTCCTTTCTTTCTTTCTCTCTCCTTTCTTCTTTCTTTCTCCTTTCTCTCTCCTTTCTTTCTCCTTTCTTTCTTTCTTTCTTTCTTTCTTTCTTTCTTTCTTTCTTTCTTTCTGTCTATCTATCTATCTATCTATCTTTCTTTCTTTCTTTCTTTCTTCCTTCCTTCCTTCCTTCCTTCCTTCCTTCCTTCCTTCCTTCCTTCCTTCCTTCCTTCCTTCCTTCTTTCTTTCTTTCTTTCTTTCTTTCTTTCTTTCTTTCTTTCTTTCTTTCTTTCTTTTTTATCTTCCCTCCCTCCCCATCCAGTTTCCTGCCCCATTGCATGCCTTCTCGCCTTTCCCCCCAGGGCATCTTTCCTAAGCTTGGGAAAATAGCTGGGAAGGCCTCTCTCTTTCTGCCAGCTTGCTTGGCGATGATTACAGCTGTTTGCATTAGAAAGGAAGAGGATGCTCTGGGCTTGTTTGCACTTTTAGCCTTTAGACTTTCTTTTTTTTCTGAGTGAGGGGCGGGTGTGTGTGTGTGCCTTGGAACCTCCTCTGTCTGGCAGGAAGCTTTTCGTCCCCCCCTCAGCATCTCAGGTTAAGCTGGGATCCCAAGGATGCTGGCCTACTGACCCTTTTTAAGGCAGACCTCCGATGCATGCATGAATTGGGGGTTGGGCTCTATTGGGGCGGGGGGGGGTTGTTTGTTATTTCTGAGCCCTTGAAGTGCCCCCCCCCCGCCCCCTCCCAGCAAGGTACGGACGGATTTCCCATCCTTTGAGATGGTTTCAAGGTCTCTCATTTATAGAATAGAACGGAACAGGAATAAGAATAGGAATTGGAATAGAATAAGAATAGAATAGAATAGAATAGAATAGAATAGAATAGAATAGAATAG